CCCTAGATTTTTATATTATTACAGTATTTTCTATGGCAAAATTACGATTCTGAAAATCACAGAAAAAAAGTACGAAGTGAAAAGTTACTTACCAGTAGACGGACTAATCTGCCTAGGTCTTTGGTATGGAATGGCGAATCTCCGCGTGTCTGTGGTATGGAATGGCGAATCTCCGCGTGTCTGTGGTATGGAATGGCGAATCTCCGCGTGTCTTTGGTATGGAATGGCGAATCTCCGCGTGTCTGTGGTATGGAATGGCGAATCTCCGCGTGTCTGTGGTATGGAATGGCGAATCTCCGTGTGTCTGTGGTATGGGATGGTGAATCTCTGTATGTCTGTGGTATGGAATGGCGAATCTCCGCGTGTCTGTGGTATGGAATGGGGAATCTCCGCGTGTCTGTGGTATGGAATGGCGAATCTCCGCGTGTCTGTGGTATGGAATGGGGAATCTCCGTGTGTCTGTGGTATGGAATGGCGAATCTCCGTGTGTCTGTGGTATGGAATGGCGAATCTCCGTGTGTCTGTGGTATGGAATGGCGAATCTCCGTGTGTTATATCTTATTGGTTAGGTATCATATCGACAAGAGCTGAGGTGTTTAGAATGATCCCTTTGTTTACTCTTGTCCTCGCCGTCTGTATACAATGCAGAGTTCAAAATTTTCGTGCCAAGTTCGGCAATGTTGATCAGATTACCTTTTATCCCTTGACTATATGTGTGTGTCCATACTTGTCTACCGGAATGGTGACTATACGGTCACCATTTGAATGATTTTGGCTTGCCGTCGCCCGAACAAGGGGTATTCAGTGTAAGTAGGTAGGGAGGGTCCAGATTACATTTAATTTATTTTAACATGTACAAATCGCCTTTTGTATAACTATCATAATGAGTTTAAAATATTCAATATATTTCTTAAAGAAATAACAGAATAAGCGGAACCCGTCCCTCGCCCATACACCAGAAGCCGAGAATAACTAACGCCATGAATTTAGGCCAGGGAGTCATCTCAAATTCCACAGACTCAACAGATGACTCCTTCCCATGAGGGGAGCACCCCCTCACGTCGCCAGAGAATCAACAAGTTTCAAGTTTCAAGTTTTATTAATAACTCCAGACACACCATAAGTGTGTAACAGGAGGTCAATCATCAGGTACAATCAGATACATTGTTACATATTGTCTGCAAATAATCAGATACATTATACATAGTGAAATGTGCATACATACCAGCATACATGTAATGCTGCGTGCATACATACATACACACGCACATACATACACATATACCTACATATATACATACGTCCATACGTACATGCATACATACGTACGTACACACACACACACACACACACACACACACACACACACACACACACACACACATACATACATACATACATATACATACATACATACATACGTGTACATACATGCCCATACATACTTACATATAATTTTAGATACATACAATTAATTCAGAAATTACTAAGTATTTTTTCTAGTTTTTGTATAAATTTTGTTACTTTCCGAAGTAAAGGGGCATTACAAATAGTGAACATTCCTTTCATTTTCAAAACACTTGGTTGTTGGTAATAGTATTTAGGTAAGTATTTTTGACGTATTTCTTTAATATAGTCGTTTTCACATTGATAAAGGTAATGATACTCATCGCCAGTATTTAAATTACATAATAAACAAATTCTTTCCTGGCGAGGTACACCTGTCCATCTACCAGTTTCGATTGGTAACTTACAATTAGATGTTCTAAATCTACACAATGTTTTTCTATCTTCTGGGTTTAGTTTAATTAAATAAGTCTCTAATTCCCATTTGCTTTTAAAGATTGAGTAAGTTTCTCCACGTGAAGAAATATCAGTGTCATGGTACCACTTCTGAATAAACTGATCAATTAATCTTTGTTTAACTTTAGACTTCAAAAAGATTCTATCAACAGTACATATATGTTGGTTACTCCATACACTGCTATATCCAGTGTTATCTAGTATTGACTTTATGGACTTCAACCATTTGAAATCGATTTGATCTTGTGACTGAAGTTTGTTCATTAAATTATAGAGTATACATGTTAATTTATTCTCATCTGTAATAATTCTATGCCAAAAAGTCACCATTCGAGTCTTAATATCAATTTCTAGTGGATAACAACCAAGTTCCCCATATATCATATAATTTGGGGTATTACTTCTCAATTTTAGAAATCTTTACAAAATTGTAGATGTATTTTTCCAACGCTAGTTACATTCTTGAATCCCCATATTTCACATACATATAATAGATTAGGTGACACAAGTGAATCAAATAGTTTAAGTTGGATATCAACAGGTAATGGAATATTTCTTATTTTCTTATATAGACCATATAATGCCTTTCTAGCCTGTTCTATCAATTGGGTCCTAGCCTTTACAAACGTACCATTATAGTTAAACAGTACACCAAGATATGAATAAGAGTTTACAACCTTTAGGAGCTCATTATTATACGTAAATGAATAAGTACCTCTGCTTTTTCTTTTCTCAAATATGACGACTTTAGTCTTTTGAGTATTGACAGTCGGTTTCCATGTTTCAAAGTATTTTCGAAAGCAATTTAAAGCATTTTGAAGACTAGTTTTTGTCTCAGCCATCATCACAGTGTCATCAGCATACAATATAATGAACAACGTAAGTCGATTGCCCGGCGGAGTCGCGGAGACGATAAACCCCCATCATCATCATCATCATCATCATCATCATCATCATCATCATCATCATCATCATCATCATCATCATCATCATCATCACTGTAATGATAAATACATATGTATTTTCCCATAATTTTCTTGAATATTATCTTTTGAAACCTTGTGTGATGAGTTTGCCTTTCAGTTGACTTCTTGTTAGGAAAACGTATTAATGGGAACAGGCCATTGGATATAGAATCAACTAGGTTGAGGATGTAGCTGAAATGTGATTCCTTGTTACAGTTTATGACCTCCGTTACGGCTCGACTTATCGCGATCACTTGTTACGGTACAAGTTTCAAACTTGTCGGCACTAGAAGTATAAATAGGGACTGACAGTAAGAATACATCTTACCATATGTTTCTCACCTGTGTATGTTCTTTATCACACATAACAATGAGAGAAGACAAACCATATTCAATTCATAAGATTTAATTTACATGATAAATAAATGACATTATTAATGAGGTATTATGACAAACAGAGAAAGCTGATATTGCACCCCTCTTGCTGAATTTCATACAAAAAAATCAAGTGCTACTATAAATAGCACAATAAACAACTATTTATTTAGCTGTAAACATTCTCATTGGACGAAACTATTACATCAAAACAATGAAAATAAAATATAGCATTTATTTGTTGTACAAAACGCTTACGTTGTGATCCGTTTTCTGAATCAGATTTACAAAGAGCTAATGACTGGAAATGAGAAATGACATTCAATCTGATGTACAAAATTGTCGCATCGCACTCATCATTAATAAACTGTATTTTGATCAACAATACACGGGGGATAAGATGGGACAGTCATTCCGGCACATGCTTTCTATCATAAAGAAAAAAAAGACTAACACACCATTTGCTCCAAATTCAACACATTTTCTAATTCCTATATTACAACATATTCACAATCACACACATATACCCTTCCTAAAAGACAGATCCCATTTCTTCATCAACTGAAGGGACTATAAACGTATAAACTCAGTTTATTAAAAAACAAATGACCTTAATAAATAACTGCAGTTTTACCGTCCTGCGTGTATTGATATAACATGCACTCTATATATACTGTACTGTAGTATCTCTATGATGTGTACATAGTACAGTGTATATGTGTACTGTCTCTGTGACGTGTACATAGTACAGTGTATATGTGTACTGTCTCTATGACGTGTACATAGTACAGTGTATATGTGTACTGTCTCTATGACGTGTACATAGTACAGTGTATATGTGTACTGTCTCTGTGACGTGTACATAGTACAGTGTATATGTGTACTGTCTCTATGACGTGTACATAGTACAGTGTATATGTGTACTGTCTCTATGACGTGTACATAGTACAGTGTATATGTGTACTGTCTCTATGACGTGTACATAGTACAGTGTATATGTGTACTGTCTCTATGACGTGTACATAGTACAGTGTATATGTGTACTGTCTGTATATGTGTACATAGTCAGTGTATATGTGTACTGTGTACATAGTACAGTGTATATGTGTACTGTCTCTATGACGTGTACATAGTACAGTGTATATGTGTACTGTCTCTATGACGTGTACATAGTACAGTGTATATGTGTACTGTCTCTATGACGTGTACATAGTACAGTGTATATGTGTACTGTCTCTATGACGTGTACATAGTACAGTGTATATGTGTACTGTCTCTATGACGTGTACATAGCAGAGTGTATATGTGTACTGTCTCTATGACGTGTACATAGTACAGTGTATATGTGTACTGTCTCTATGACGTGTACATAGCAGAGTGTATATGTGTACTGTCTCTATGACGTGTACATAGTACAGTGTATATGTGTACTGTCTCTATGATGTGTACATAGTACAGTGTATATGTGTACTGTCTCTTTGATGTGTACATAGTACAGTGTATATGTGTACTGTCTCTATGACGTGTACATAGTACAGTGTATATGTGTGTACTGTCTCTATGACTGTGTGTACATAGTACAGTGTATATGTGTACTGTCTCTATGACGTGTACATAGTACAGTGTATATGTGTACTGTCTCTATAGTACATACAGTGTATATGTGTACTGTACGTGTACATAGTACAGTGTATATGTGTACTGTCTCTATGTGTACATAGTACAGTGTATATGTGTACTGTCTCTATGACGTGTACATAGCAGAGTGTATATGTGTACTGTCTCTATGACGTGTACATAGCACAGTGTATATGTGTACTGTCTCTATGATGTGTTACATAGTACAGTGTATATGTGTACTGTCTCTGTGACGTGTACATAGTACAGTGTATATGTGTACTGTCTCTATGACGTGTACATAGTACAGTGTATATGTGTGCTGTCTCTATGATGTGTTACATAGTACAGTGTATATGTGTGCTGTCTCTATAACGTGTACATAGTACAGTGTATATGTGTACTGTCTCTATGACGTGTACATAGTACAGTGTATATGTGTACTGTCTCTATGACGTGTACATAGTACAGTGTATATGTGTACTGTCTCTATGACGTGTACATAGTACAGTGTGTATGTGTACTGTCTCTATGACGTGTACATAGTACAGTGTATATGTGTACTGTCTCTATGACGTGTACATAGTACAGTGTGTATGTGTACTGTCTCTATGATGTGTACATAGTACAGTGTATATGTGTATTGTACTCGACTATCCGTTCATTTGTGTCAGTAAATACAAAATAAAGAGTTGGTGACAATCAGCTCCTTGTAAATCTAGTATTTAAATAATACAGTTCATAACATACTGTGACATCTTTGTTCGTTCTTGGTAGTCGTCGTTGGTTACCTCTCATCTGATTAGGATGTGCCCAGAACAATTGGAATCCGTTATCATATAGTTGGTTTAGAAGCCCTAGTTTCGTTATATAGTGCTTTCCAGGTGTCACATTTGGTGAGTGGAACTCCACTGCAAGCTGACGAACATTTTTCAATACTCCAGAACTCAGCATATCTGCTATAGCGCTCCACTCACTCTCTTCAATGTCCATTTTCACGTAGTCCAAAACACGCTGTCAACAACATGAAAGGTAAGGCCATTATACATCAAAGATCTTGAGGATTTACAAGACTTGGTTTAAGATAGCAGGTATTAGACACTGCTGGTGGACTTTAAGTCTCTGAGGTTAAGCGGTACGGTTTAGAAAATAAACATGTACTTGACGCTATTCTGAAACAATGAGGCGCAAAGTTCGTCATTATCCCTCTTAACCAATTATTAGTGTAAAATCCAAATTATATATATATATATATATATACCGGTATAACGATTTGTGACGTCACTCAATTATGTACCGCTACTATCACCTGAAGATGTATACGGTGAAAGTGTTTGTGCAAAATGTAAAATCTTCTTTTCTTAATTATCAATTAAATTTCCTGACATCTCCTCAACTTCAACATTATATATATATATCTATATCTTATATATCAACCTTGTAGCGAGAGTTTATATCTTGATGTAGATCCTGTGTGTTTGACTGTTGATATTTAAATAGAGCTCGGTATTGTCCATGAACAAATTGATACAACACTCTATAAATTCAGGAGTAATACAAGAAGTCACAAGAAATCGGAAAATTTGATGGTAACAGAAAAAAGAAGAATAATAAAATGTCTACAATATCAAAAGTCACAACTAGGGAAATAACATATACAGAAAGGTTTGTAGAGTTGAGTGGAATGGTTTTAAAGTTGTAGACCGGAAAGGAAAATTAACAATAATTTGGTGTTTTTCACTATGTTTCCATGGTAACACAAAAATTAACAAAAAACCTGAAATGTCCTCAATAGCAAAAGGCACAGCTAGGGCATTACCATAATATATACAGAAGGTTTCGTGGAGTTGGGTTGAACGGTTTTGATGTTATAGCTCGGAAAAGCCCTCGGACAGACGGACGGAGCCCAAAATGATATTCCCCGCAAATGCGTTTCGCATGGGATAATTATGTTTTTTTAAATTTAATTATGGGGATCGTGAACATTTTCGTCTAGATTTGAACTTTTCTTTCAATCACTTTGGATTTTCTACAGTCGCCTCTTTGTGCTTCAAAATTCAGTGCCTTAAATCACTGCCGAGTCTTAGAATGACAAAACAGCTCTATGCTGCAGACTATTTCATTGTTTGGCTCTACTTTATCTAACTCGAAATTTGTATTAAAAAGATGCAATTCAATTGTGTGTCTTTTGTCTCGGAGTTTACCAGTAGGTAATGTCTTTGTCAAAACGAACACTCTATGAATATCATTCTGGCCTGTTCTTAAAATCCTACAGCTGTGAAATGAACTGTATGTAACACTTGAATCTTAATTTCGCCAATGCTATACAGAAACTTTTGTCCAAAAAAGCGATGAGACATTGTTATATTACAGGACAGTAACAATCTTTATAACAAAGGGATATAACTGTTATAACTTACGTCGGAATGTCCCAACATCTGTTTGATGGAGGCGAGTGTCTTCATTTGCCAGCTTCCTCGTTGACCGTTAAAGTTGGACAAGCCGAGGTTATGAAACCATACCTTCTCAGAGTGTTTGTGATCGTTAAGACCAATACTGTAAAGGATAGAAAATATTCACTTCTTTAACATATTAAATCATCTCCTTTGGATAAATGCCGCAGATAAATCCATGTCATATTTTAATGCTCGTAATTAAATTTTCTCTTGTTTTTCTTATGCTATATCTTCTTGCTTTCTTTTCTTTCTCTATATATGAGTGTCTGAAAACTCCACCACATGGTTTTATTTCCTGGTTGATGTATAATTCATGACCTTTACCTTGGATCGAAGGCGTGAACTTCGCACCCATATATCCGGGACACCTCTTCGTCAAACGTCCAATCTCTCGCTATCCTGTAAAGTTAGCTGTAGCTTATAAACTCCTCAAGATTTACATTACAGCCACTATTTTCTAGCGAGTATGTATTGTCTTAATTTTAAATAACTCTACCATTCACTAATAACACATAGATTATGAAAGCAATTGATCATGTTTAAATTAAAACGCAGAAACCAATCATTGGAAAGCTATTCCAATTAAATTAGTCTTACTTACCCAAATGAGTAGACGAGACACTTGGGAGAAGGTCGATAGTCTGTGTCGTTACATACCTCCCAGCCACCGTCGTTAATGTCCCCCACACGTACTACGTCTTTACACAGTACTTGAGTTGAGAGTGAGTAGCTAGCACCAAATTAAACAAAACTTTTGTGTCATGAGAAAGATACATTTTTTGTACACCCGAAAACATATTACTTGTTTACAATTCTAGTGTATCAGAGTTCAGAAGCTTGCTGATGATTTAACCAAGTCGTTTTACATCTGACATGCTGTCTGGACTAACGATAAGCGTTTATTATCTTCCATTCAACCGATCACATTCATAACCATGTGTCTAAACACCACAGAGCTAGATATCTCACCTGTGATACAGCAGAGCGTTATAATCGTCCTAATCACAACAGAACACCCACAGAGCTAGATATCTCACCTGTGATACAGTCCTAAACACAACAGAGCGTTTATTGAAACAGCAACCCCACAGAGCTAGATATCTCACCTGTGATACAGCAGAGCGTTTATTAAACCCCACAGAGCTAGATATCTCACCTGTGATACAGCAGAGCGTTTATTAAACCCCACAGAGCTAGATATCTCACCTGTGATACAGCAGAGCGTTTATTAAACCCAACAGAGCTAGATATCTCACCTGTAATACAGCAGAGCGTTTATAATCGTCCTAATCACAACAGAGCTAGAGGTCTCACCTGTGATACAGCAGAGCATTTATTATCGTCCTAAACACCACAGAGCTAGAAATATCTCACCTGTGATACAGCAGAGCGTTTATTATCGTCCTAAACACAACAGAGCTAGGAATCTTACCTTTGAAACAGCAGAGCGTTTATTAAACACCACAGAGCTAGATATCTCACCTGTGATACAGCAGAGCGTTTATCAAACACCCCAGAGCTAGATATCTCACCTGTGATACAGCAGAGCGTTTATTAAACACCACAGAGCTAGATATCTCATCTGTGATACAGCAGAGCGTTTATTATCGTCCTAAATACAACAGAGCTAGATATCCCACCTGTGATACAGCAGAGCGTTTATTAAACACCACAGAGCTAGATATCTCACCTGTGATACAGCAGAGCGTTTATTAAACACCACAGAGATCTCACCTGTGATACAGCAGAGAGTTTATTAAACACCACAGAGCTAGAGATCTCACCTGTGATACAGCAGAGCGTTTATTAAACACCACAGAGCTAGAGATCTCACCTGTGATACAGCAGAGCGTTTATTAAACACCACAGAGCTAGATATCTCACCTGTGATACAGCAGAGCGTTTATTAAACACCACAGAGCTAGAGATCTCACCTGTGATACAGCAGAGCGTTTATTAAACACCACAGAGCTAGAGATCTCACCTGTGATACAGCAGAGCGTTTATTAAACACCACAGAGCTAGAGATCTCACCTGTGATACAGCAGATAAACACCACAGAGCTAAACACCACAGAGCTAGATATCTCACCTGTGATACAGCAGAGCGTTTATTAAACACCACAGAGCTAGAGATCTCACCTGTGATACAGCAGAGCGTTTATTAAACACCACAGAGCTAGAGATCTCACCTGTGATACAGCAGAGCGTTTATTAAACACCACAGAGCTAGAGATCTCACCTGTGATACAGCAGAGCGTTTATTAAACACCACAGAGCTAGAGATCTCACCTGTGATACAGCAGAGCGTTTGTTGTTGCAGACATCTTATTCAGTTTATCGGTCGACGGAATGACTATTGGTGGTATAGTGGTTCTACCTCGCATCTATCAACACAAAGGCAACAGTTTAGTATTTATGATATATCTACACGTGCTTAACATTCTGAAGATTTAACTCCAGATCTAATTAATCTCTTGAAACATATGACAATCTTTACTCCAATAAAAAAAATTCGTATGTTAAGGAAAAACCTAAATCTTCTGTAACTTATGTAATGTTTTTTCTGTGTAAAAGACGATTCATTAAACTGGGGTCTGTATTGTAGTTTTGACTTCCAACTTCGTGGTCAGGCACAATTGATCTAAATACTGATTTTAATAGGAGTAATTAGATTTAATAGAGCTAAACAGCTGTTTCGTCCTTCTAGGTCAGAGATGCTACTTAACGTTCATATATTGTAAACTGTGGGGGAGGGGGGGTTGGGGTTGTTATTGTTTAACGGTCGCCAGTGACTTCATCTGGAAATATTACATTTCATCCAGAGATGTGAAGCTGGACGTGGTTTTTCTTTGATGTGTATATAGAAATTTAGTCACCGTTATCCTTATATCAAGTGAATTAAGAAACCCATTCGTCTGATATAGAATGATATGTGTGCTTGTAATGTTATAGGTTTGTTGTTTACATATGACGCCAATTAACATTATAAACATTGTACAAAACACACACAAGTGAATAATACCTTACAATGCAAATTGAGAATTTCCTACAGAAGAACCAAATCATTAATTAAACTACATCAAGCGGATGTTTAGTAATTCTTGGACCCGGTAGTGGTGCTAAATTGTTTAAACCTAAAGAAATAAGCAAATTTAGCAATTAGAGTATCTCACCATATATATGATGTAACAGCCAGTGACGTCACGTCCGTTGAGCTTATAAATACACTCTGGCTTTGGATCACGTGAAATGTGAAATATCCGAAATCCCTGGTCATAAAGACGAGATAACAACAGGATCTCCCGGATATAGTCGCTCTGGGATGAGGACCCACTAACGCTCTCAAACTTGACAATCAGCTGGTCGACTGACCCTAGTGCATTCTTTCTATCCAACCAATCGACAATATTTGTAGAGAGATTCCCTGCGTGTATTAACAAAATGTCGATCGTAGGCTGAAACACATCATATGGCATAATGGAATGGAATATATTGTTCTGATAATTATACTGGAACATATTGATCTGTAGACATACTGAAATGTCTTGTTCTGTAGATATAATGGAACGTATTGATCTGTAGACATACTGAAATGTCTTGTTCTGCAGGTATAAATGAACGTATTGTTCTGTAGATATAAATGAACGTATTGTTCTGTAGATATAAATGAACGTATTGTTCTGTAGATATAATGGAACGTATTGTTCTGTAGATATAAAGGAACGTATTGTTCTGTAGATATAATGAAACTTATTGTTCTGTAGATATAAAGGAACGCATTGTTCTGTAGATACAAAGGAACGCATTGTTCTGTAGATATAATGAAACGTATTGTTCTGTAGATATACATGAACGTATTGTTCTGTAGATATAAAGGAATGCATTGTTCTGTAGATATAAAAGAACGCATTGTTCTGTAGATATAAAGGGACGCATTGTTCTGTAGATATAAAGTAATGCATTGTTCTGTAGATCTCATGAACGCATTGTTCTGTAGATATAAAGGAACGCATTGTTCTGTAGATATAATAGAACGTATTATTTGTAAACATACTAGAATGTATATTTTGTAGATATAATTGAATGTATTGATTTTTAAACATACTAGAACGCATTGTTCTGAAGATATAATAAAATGCAGAGTTAACATATAAAATAGACCAGGTTATTATCCATCATGTCGTTTACCTGTTTTATCATATCATACACTGGTAAAGTGGCCTGGGACGGAGAACTCTCTGTCATAGCAGTCTGTACCGTCCTGCAATCACACAACATAATAATGAAGGAATCACAGCCGGTGTCAGTTAGAAACCTTTAACTTCAACACAAACCCAATATACAATGGTTGAAATCTCGCGAGGAAAAACGAAATTGAAACAAGTCTGTTCCTACTCTGTTTACCACAAACAGCTTACCTTCTTGGTATCTGTACAGTCTTCGCGTGTGTATCAACAGCGATCTCCTTCAGAAATTTTGTAGCTATGACGTCATCCTTGGTCTGACTGGAAAAAACCCCAAAAACTCAATAAACAGTCTTGGTGTGAACAGATATATGTAGGATTAACATAGTCTTGGTGTGAACAGATATATGTAGGATAAACATAGTCTTGGTGTGAACAGATATATGTAGGATTAACATAGTCTTGGTGTGAACAGATATATGTAGGATAAACATAGTCTTGGTGTGAACAGATATATGTAGGTTAAACATAGTCTTGGTGTGAACAGATATATGTAGGATTAACATAGTCTTGGTGTGAACAGATATATGTAGGATAAACATAGTCTCGGTGTGAACAGATATATGTAGGTTAAACAAAGTCTTGATGTGAACAGATATATGTATAATGAACTTAGTCTCGGTGTGAACAGATATATATATATAGGATAAATTAAACCTCTGTATTAACAAATGTAAACAAAGGAGGTCCGTATCTGTAATATTAATAGGCAATCTAAACAGTTGTAATACCAAAGCATAATTAGCCGGTATTTCGTCTTTGGAAAGACTGCATACTTATAGGCATGGTTATATACCTGTCATGTAAATCTTGACGTGTGGATTTAACATCAGGATCGAGGAGATTTGGTAAGGAGATGAAGGTGAGATTCTGTTTACACTTACATTCGCTAAAGAAGCATTTCACTAGACTTATTCGAAATCTAAATTGTCTGTATTATAAATCAATATATATATTTCTTAAAGACCACACGATGCATATGTCGTTCTGGATTTAAGATGTCATGGGTACCCCCAGCCAACCATAGCTCCGCCAGGTGGTAGTTAAATATTTAAACTGATAAGATGGTAGGTATGTTATGAATATACCTAGTATCAACTTAGTTTGTATGTAAAGTTTATAAATGGTGGATGTGTACACATTTACACCCTGTGTCACAGGACTGTATTTCAGTGGTATTTTTATAGATGGAGTTGTGGTTCGTATGCTTGAATTTGTTAATCAATTCATACAACTAAATGTAAATATTAGATGTGATGTAAATGGTTGTGTCAGGACCCTGTGTCTTTGTATGTAAATGATCTGAAAAGGTAATGGTGAGTAGAATGTAAGGAATGTGAGTTTGTAAGTCACATGACCTGGACAAACGATTTTCATTGGATACTTTTATATTAACTCCTTCATGACTAGTAGCTCACTTTCATACACTTGTTGCCTTTCTTTCTTTGGAACTAGACGTGTTTTGGGATGATAAGAAGTTGTTGTGCAAGATCATGAGACAGAAGTCATTGGTAAGTTTGTATTATTAGATCTATAAGTTATTCAAATATTGCTTCTAGCAAGCAGTATTTTTGTTTTTATAGTATTTAATAGGCTAGTGTCAATTCTTTCATTGTTTGGACATATTAGGACATGGTCCCGACAACTTAGATTATAAAGTGTTTTATTCTTATCTCTTGCTATTTTATAGTTGCTGTATCAAGTATTTATATGTGACTACAGCCGGAATCATATTGTAACTGCACGGCATCTGTCATTGTTCTTGGAGCCCCTGCACTATTATGTAGGGCGAGTGCGTATTCAGGTTATCAGATCTAATGTTTGATATATTTTGCTGTTAGGTGTATTTAATAAAATTAAGTAAGCGTCATTTCCTATCTTCTATATATTCTATAGAAAGTATGTATCGCCGTAACGCTACATTACGTCGGAATTAAATTATGAAGTATTTCATTGTTATATTAGTAAATAACTAGTTAAATTATATATAGTTGCCTAAATTGTATAATCTAAAGTTCTATCTAGGACTAGAATACTTAGATAAGGTTAGTCTGGCGGATTTGTCACTTTTATTGCTTTCAATGCCAAAATATTGTCATGTTTGAGTTGTGTCCCTTGAATGTCCAGGCGATAGTGAGATGTGTACGGGTGATGTGGTAAGTGCATATTGTATTCATTTGTTGTAGGGTTCTTTTAACAAGAATAAACATTGAATGAACAAAAATCAGCGTGCGATGTTTTTATATCAAGTGAAACACCGGTAACACCCAGTATCAATTTTTTGTAGCTTTTTTTATAATACATTAAATTTATTTACTTAAACCATAAAGAATAACCAAAAACATGTGATGAAACGTATTGTTCTGATGAAACAAATTACAGTATATTACATTTATCAAAATGGTTACAAAAGGAAGCAGGCGCTTATTGATATTTGATACATGATATTTGATTGTCGTTAAAGCAAAGAATAGGACGAAAAACGCAACGTTTATATCATACCTTGATTTTTGACAGTGACCGAGATTCTGCATGAGATAAAGAGGATACCTACCTTATGAAATAGATCGTGACCGGAGCAACTTTGCGCGGTATGGAACAGATCTGCCACCCAGCATTTATGCCAGCATAGATCGGCTTCACAGGACAAAAGATTTGGAGATCGTTGACATATCTATAAGATAAAAGCAGTAAGATTAGCCAGCATGTTTAATTAGCGGATTATAGACATCAAATAATGCTTCATCAAAACAGTAATTAAAAAACATATATGTGAATATCACAGGACAAAGAAAAAAATCTGGTACCAAGAACATACTAAAACCAATAGCAACGATAAAGTATAAAGTTTATGTTACAGACGAAAATCAAAATACGACAATTATGCATAATATACATTAATTAATGTCAATTTGGTAAAAAATGGATAAAGTTAGCAATACATTATAATACAACTAAATAAACCAAAGAGAAAAACTTAATAGAAACTAACAAACGCAACGTGTTTACGAAAACAGCATCCCAACGAATAGCATTTTTTTCGAAACATTTAAGATGGTCAAAGATGTGACAGTCCCTGGAGTAACGACACTTACTCAATACAGAAAAATGAACAGATATTTTTGACAGTGCAAAATTATATCAAGCTTGGTAAACGTTTTAGCTAATATTCTTGTAGCTATTGTTCTATTTATCAAACTGTACATCATGTATTCATACATAGATTAGAAAGTAGCGCTAAATGGTAACCTGTTTTACAGACCAATAAGTTAAGGCGTCACTACTTATGTTAGAAATTGTATTTTGTTATTCTATTCATCACATGTGCGTTTGTTTTTAGATATTATTGTTATGTGTAAGTATTACTTTTTCATTCAGTGTCGATGTTAGGTGTTCCAGTCCCGAAGATTTATATTTGCCTTTGTATATATATAGGAAAGGAATTAATATGAGCTCTAAGCTTGTTTTACCATCCCATAAATTATCTGTATCTGTCAAATTGCTGATTATTGAATAAAATATTGTTTAAGCTTACTAATGACAGATGTCGTGCAATCATTAACCTTCTAGAAACACCTGTCTGGGTCCTATTATTTATTTTACCTACCTGTGATATATTTCAGCCACATTTTCCACCGATTGCTGTCGCAGTGTGTTCTCGGAAGGAAGCGGGTTCTGAAATCACATAAAAAGAAGGTTAAACTACATAACATTCTCAGTATCTTGATTCCTCGAGATTGCATATCAATTGTTTGAGAAGTAAGCGTATATCACCGTGGAATTTAAGATTGGTGAAAAAAACAAAATATCATCCACCTTCTTCATACATTTTCAAATGCTTTCGACTGTATTATGATTTGTTTTTCATACATAAAGTTCCTTTTACATTTATATTCATTCAACGTCCCCCTACATTGACTCACAAAATTTTACCGAATCGCCGAAATTATCATTCCTCCTTAAAGACAATTTGATCATCTGTTTTATATTAGGAAAATTCCACTTGATGTGATATCATATACCGACATCGAGGAAAACAATCCCCATTCTTGTTTGTGAGGAGAATTAAGCTAGAATAAACAATTGGACATGATTTTAAACCATTATTCACGGCTGGCGGCGTCAGCATTTTGAGAAAAGGAAGATTCAAACTTATTGATGTTCAGATTGTCCTGTATTTCTCGCTTAACTACAAAAAGAAATTGAAGAAATATTGCTGTTTTATTGGCTTTAACTAAGCCGTTATAAATGGGTGGAAAGTAACGCTAACGAAAGCTCCATCAAACATCAACATGTACCATAACTCCTTAAGCCATCATTCACGGTGAAAATCTTTGTAATAGACTTGAGGAGGAAGCATAACGATGGATTATGGGGCATATATTATTGATGTTTTCAGAAATGTTATTTGGCAAATTTTAAATACTAATAAATATTATCTTATCACACAATCAAATGTTCAAGATATAGATTTCATTGAATATGAGGACACCAGTGATGTCTCCCCTGGATTTTTTAAAATTCCTATAAAATGGGTAGTATCGTTCCGAAATAGTTGAAATATTAACATGTTTCTGTACATCGTCGGAAACCCATGAGGCTCTGCTCTGTCATTTGAGTCATTCAAACGACAGAGCAGAATTTCCTGGGTATCTGACAGTGGTTTCCGTATAGACAGTGCAAAGTTTCTCGAAACTTAAGTTTTATAACTATGCCCTGTATTGAATCTATTTGGGGATAATACGTCTTGACGGTAATTTTTTCAGTTCAGTCGTACGCCAATAAAGTTACCGGTCAAACAATCACTCAACTGAATCAATTTAATTGACCGATAAACAACAATAAATCAGTAAAAATAACAAATAAATAAAATCACTAAGGTCTGTGATTGCAGCAGATTGGAACATCGAACCATTTCCACTTTTAAATTATCATTGTAGAAATTTGTTTCCACCACTGAAACATACACCTATTAACGACATAGGCACAGTTGTGTGATTTCATTCATCTGCAGAGCACAGAATTAGGTATGGTGTTTGTTTTAGGGAAATCAGTTTTTAAGCAGAAAGGTTTAAACAGTATTTCATTGGTTGAAATAAGCTTAAGCAACAGTAGATAAACATCAACGAAGAGATAACAGGACTGATGTCAAGGTAGCAGGAAACAGTTAATTTGCATTTTTCCTGAAATTATTGGTTATGTTTGAGATATACAGGTAAAGCAGGTTGGTTATGAAAAATACATCATTACATGTATATATATTTATAAACTACATAACAATTACATTAATAGTAGAGAGATGAAATTTGCGTAAATCAAAAAGTTCCTCTGATTTCTGACATTTGATTGTCATGGTTACCGACTGAAAAAAATGCTCAAAATGCAAAAATACTGCTAATACCAACCTAACACTACAACCTTCTAGAAGAAATTTAATTCTAAACACCTATCTTAAATCAACAACACTGTCGTGGTAACAAAGTACTTACATTTCAGCAAATTCCAACTCAGAAATCCTTCATAACATGAACATATGTAAACACTATAAAAATTTCACTTTCTGTAAAGCTAGTTTCTGGTGCGTAGACACAGATTCGATACTGCCTAAATAGTAATCTCCAACACAAAGCTAAAATATTATTCTGAAAAAATGAAACCCCACATCGTCCACTTTAACATGACAAGACCAATTTTAGCAAGAATTTATTTTTAGAATTTTAATTAAAACCCTTATAATGGGGTAATCTAATGAACAAAAAAATCACCCCATGACCACACCGAGAAACTGTGTACTGCTACCGAAAGTGAGTCATGCGACGTATATATACAGCTCAATATGACACCCGCGGCGAAGGTCACATGTTGTAGAAATCAGAAGAGAATTTGTAATTCTGTCGTGGTATTAGGGAAAATGATAATAATGCACATATGCAGTAACAACAATAAATACATGTGTTACATTTTCAGTTATGTGGTTAAAGAGGAGAAAAGAATATGGGATGAAGAATGGGTAAAGAGAAGGGTAGCAGTGATGAAATAGACAGAATTTCATGAAAGAATAGGAAAGTACATAACGTTCATATACCCCCGTAAAGTAATGGCAACTGTAAACAAATATACAAAATGAACGCGTTTACTTTTTAACGATGAAAGTTTGTACGTAAGAATATCGTGAGGATAAAGGTATAAGGACAAGTTATTGATCCGATTAATACATTGACGGTGTAGCATGCTTTATTCAGTACACTAGGAGATTGTGTTTGATGGCTTCAATATAGGGTTATCAATATATTTTTTCGAAAAATGATGATCTGAAAGAGAACTACATTTTAAACATGATTGATTTACCCCATTCGTTTACCAGTGAAGTACCATTTGGGAATATTCAATTTTCAAGAATTTTCTACTGGTTTTATCCTGTATGTTAGCAATATACTGACGGGTATTATGAGCATGCAATTCATTAATTCGATAAGTTAGTATATCAGTTAAATAGTTAGGGGTCAGTTCATGAATGATTCTATGAATTTTTATGTTTACGTCTCCTTTCAGACTGTTGTGGACGTGATGTTTCAGACTGTTGTGGACGTGATGTTTCAGACTGTTGTGGACGTGATGTTTCAGACTGTTGTGGACGTGATGTTTCAGAATGTTGTGGACGTGATGTTTCAGACTGTTGTGGACGTGATGTTTCCAATCCGTTTTGTCAGAGATACTAACACCAATGTGTTGGTGAGGAGTCACTTCAGAAACCGGAGTGTTGTTATAATGGAGAAGCGGATGAAAAGGTTTGTTTTTTTTACTCACTACAAGACACTCCGTTTTATTAAAAAAAAATCAGCCAATCATTTAGAAGTAGGTGTAGACACATGGGATCAGGACAAACTGCTTTGAGTAGGTGTAGACACATGAGATCAGGACTAACTGCTTTGAGTAGGTGTAGACACATGGGATCAGGACAAACTGCTTTGAGTAGGTGTAGACACATGGGATCAGGACAAACTGCTTTGAGTAGGTGTGGACACATGGGATCAGGACAAACTGCTTTGAGTAGGTGTGGACACATGGGATCAGGACAAACTGCTTTGAGTAGGTGTGGACACATGGTATCAGGACTAACTGCTTTGAGTAGGTGTGGACACATGGGATCAGGACAAACTGCTTTGAGTAGGTGTGGACACATGGGATCAGGACAAACTGCTTTGAGTAGGTGTGGACACATGGGATCAGGACAAACTGCTTTGAGTAGGTGTGGACACATGGGATCAGGACAAACTGCTTTGAGTAGGTGTAGACACATGGGATCAGGACAAACTGCTTTGAGTAGGTGTAGACACATGGGATCAGGACAAACTGCTTTGAGTAGGTGTAGACACATGGGATCAGGACTAACTGCTTTGAGTAGGACACATGTATCAGGACTAACATGGGATCAGGACAAACTGCTTTGAGTAGGTGTAGACACATGGTATCAGGACAAACTGCTTTGAGTAGGTGTAGACACATGGTATCAGGACTAACTGCTTTGAGTAGGTGTGGACACATGGTATCAGGACTAACTGCTTTGAGTAGGTGTAGACACATGGGTCAGGACAAACTGCTTTGAGTAGGTGTAGACACATGGGTCAGGACAAACTGCTTTGAGTAGGTGTAGACACATGGTATCAGGACAAACTGCTTTGAGTAGGTGTAGACACATGGGATCAGGACAAACTGCTTTGAGTAGGTGTTGACACATGGGTCAGGACAAACTGCTTTGAGTAGGTGTGGACACATGGGATCAGGACAAACTGCTTTGAGTAGGTGTAGACACATGGGTCAGGACAAACTGCTTTGAGTAGGTGTGGACACATGGTATCAGGACTAACTGCTTTGAGTAGGTGTAGACACATGGGTCAGGACAAACTGCTTTGAGTAGGTGTGGACACATGGTATCAGGACTAACTGCTTTGAGTAGGTGTGCTTTGAGTAGGTGTGGACACATGGTATCAGGACTAACTGCTTTGAGTAGGTGTAGACACATGGGATCAGGACTAACTGCTTTGAGTAGGTGTAGACACATGGGATCAGGACTAACTGCTTTGAGTAGGTGTAGACACATGAGATCAGGACTAACTGCTTTGAGTAGGTGTAGACACATGGGATCAGGACTAACTGCTTTGAGTAGGTGTAGACACATGGGATCAGGACAAACTGCTTTGAGTAGGTGTAGACACATGGGATCAGGACAAACTGCTTTGAGTAGGTGTAGACACATGGGATCAGGACAAACTGCTTTGAGTAGGTGTAGACACATGGGATCAGGACAAACTGCTTTGAGTAGGTGTGGACACATGGGATCAGGACTAACTGCTTTGAGTAGGTGTTGACACATGGGATCAGGACAAACTGCTTTGAGTAGGTGTGGACACATGGTATCAGGACTAACTGCTTTGAGTAGGTGTAGACACATGGGATCAGGACAAACTGCTTTGAGTAGGTGTGGACACATGGGATCAGGACAAACTGCTTTGAGTAGGTGTGGACACATGGGTCAGGACAAATCAGACAAACTGCTTTGAGTAGGTGTGGACACATGGGATCAGGACAAACTGCTTTGAGTAGGTGTGGACACATGGGATCAGGACAAACTGCTTTGAGTAGGTGTGGACACATGGGATCAGGACAAACTGCTTTGAGTAGGTGTGGACACATGGGATCAGGACAAACTGCTTTGAGTAGGTGTGGACACATGGGATCAGGACAAACTGCTTTGAGTAGGTGTGGACACATGGGATCAGGACAAACTGCTTTGAGTAGGTGTGGACACATGGGATCAGGACAAACTGCTTTGAGTAGGTGTTGACACATGGGATCAGGACTAACTGCTTTGAGTAGGTGTAGACACATGGGATCAGGACTAACTGCTTTGAGTAGGTGTAGACACATGAGATCAGGACTAACTGCTTTGAGTAGGTGTAGACACATGGGATCAGGACAAACTGCTTTGAGTAGGTGTAGACACATGAGATCAGGACTAACTGCTTTGAGTAGGTGTTGACACATGAGATCAGGACTAACTGCTTTGAGTAGGTGTTGACACATGAGATCAGGACTAACTGCTTTGAGTAGGTGTTGACACATGAGATCAGGACAAACTGCTTTGAGTAGGTGTGGACACATGAGATCAGGACTAACTGCTTTGAGTAGGTGTGAACTTATAAGACCAGGACCAACTGGAGTAGGAATTCCTGAGTCGTTCCCTACAGATTGAGAATACAAATAAGTATTGAAAGCCTCAGTATTACTGGAATGATACCGACAACCATCATGGTTAATACTAGGTATCTAGGATTTGTAGAAATTAGCGTCCATAACACACAGGGTCATTTTTCATCAATCCCTTTGGTTATGTTTAGAAGAAATCTCGTTATAAAACCTAGACTTGACTTGACTCACACAGTTAACACATTTATTATGAATAGTCTAAAAACTTTTCCAAACAACGACCGTATTTTATTTTTTATCCTTTCAATGTAGCCGTCTAAGTTTACGAATGAGTTTTCGGAGTGGTACACGTCGATGGAGGATAATTTTGTCTAATCGTTACATATCTATGAGGAATGCATTCACGTGCAATATTTCATATAGCCTCATTAAATGCATCAGTCGATTTGTCTATTTCTTAGTTTATTGTGTTATAGTCACCACAGTGTAAGAGCCATATATGTCGTTTGAAAGAAGGAGAGTGTGTTTTAGGAAAGCATAAGAAACAAGAAATAAGGCAGTGGTATCTGAGAGGTTGGTCGAACATATTGTCTAAACTTAAAATTATCTAGCAATAACATCTTTAACAATATAAATATAATTAACTCGAACCAGATATATGAATGAATTAAGTGTACCGGTATAACAAATGGGTTCTGAGACCATCTGTACAAGGCTATAACTGGTCACCGCGTATGTGAAATGATTATCACAGTTAGCATTAAAAGATCTACAGAGAGTTCAATATTTTTCCAGAGTGATGTTGGGGAGCTTGCAAGTCTGTTATATATTCTCCAAGTAACAAAATCAAGTGACGTGATCTAGAGATCTTGCCTGCGTTTAACATTTCCATCGTCCCTTACAGAGACATAATGCCCAAGTCCATCTGATCTAAATTGGTGAATGGAGTGTGAAAACGAAGAATGTTCTTGCGTACAGTCGGTGTCCTTAAGCCGAATTTCATCGAAGTCAAGAACAGTATGATGAAACAATTCGAACTGAAAGCAAGGAAATGTCATAAGTAAGGGCAGACGATAGGATGCTGGAATCGGTAGAGGGTGGAGATGTTGGTGACAATGTACTGGGATTAGGCTGTTTATCACCTGATAATATCAAATATAGTTCATATTCATATAAAACATAAATCCTTGGTAGCTAGACTGTAAAGTACATTTCGTAGAAACAAAGGCTAAAATATGACGGTTTGTAGCGTGCGGTGTGATACGATTCACGTGAATGTTTATGATAGTGACGTAAAACAGCAGATAACCAGCATGATTGTGTAAAATTGATACCATAACAGAAACAACGGCATGGCCGAAGCAGAAGAGGAGATTTACAGCTAAATTAACTTAAAACCGTTCAAAGTCTTCAAACTCAGTCACAGTATCTATTTTACATAACAAACCCTGAACATTATAGCGAACCATCGTTGAATAATACCTATTAGCAAAAGACATATAGCTACATGTACAGGATGATATAAGATCAGTGACACACTGACAGACCAGGATTGATCTTAAATCAGATATAATAGTATACTAACCATATTGTTGATATAATGGAACAAGTAAACACATACAAACATAAGATATAAGGGTTATAACTGGTACGAGTTTTTGGTTATTAGGCTCACGATAATCCTTTATGTTGTCATCAGTGGGGGCCCTTCAACCGAACATTTCAGATAATCAAAGATCCAAATGAATTGTTGATGGTCCAAAACAATGATATGAAAATGAACTAAATTAACATGGGAATTATAATTCCCCTGTTGGGATTCCTCCCCTCATGTGGCCCCAAGGGGGTTGAAACCTACGCTTCGTACAAAATGTATTTTTTTCTATTGGACCTGTTCCTCTGGTCCCAGGGGACAGAGACCTACTCTTTCTTCAAAACTCATTTCTTTCAGTAAACACAACAGGGACGCTATCGGTTGTCGTACCGAAAGGAATGTGACATGGTATGGTTCATTAAATTACTATTGCCAGAACACACATAAGCCTTTATATTCTGATTCAGCTTTGAATCAGTATGTCTTTGGTTTCGTTATTTAAAGCTCGAAAATACAAACGACACAGTATCATGTCCACTGAAGAATGCGTGGTGCGAATCAAATCTTTGACAGTCGTTTATTTGTCATGTTATTGTATAATCTTGTTTATCAAATGAGTACATAAGTGAATGGGCATGCTTGTTTTGTGTATTAAAAACAATCGATTCCTTTCTTTATTTTTTATTTTATTTCATTTATTTATTTTTTTTATTTTTTAAAGTTTGGATTAACATACGTTATGGCCAACATACTGTACACAATTACTTGAGAAACGTGACATATAAACTGCCACATTCTCAAATACAAGTTTCTCTTTCCTTCAACTCACCTTACCTAGTGATTGAGAAACTACTTTTTTTTAATCAGTTATTAATTAATCAAACCAAAGAAGCTCCGATCGATCCAAGAAGGTGAAAAACTATCACCATTATAAATCAAACAAGTTCTTGAAATTAAACTGAAAAAAACGTGTCCTGTATATATGGCAGTTTCTACAAGAACTAGTATTACCTTGTAAAAAGTTACATTACATGATTTGAATAATGAATTGTACCAAATTTGAGTACACAATATGTAATATTACTACAATGCTGCAGTTGCATCAGTTTTTCCAAAGCTGAAATCAATGCAGCTGTCAAACTTCCAGTAAATAATTTGATAAGAATTGAAATATTTTAGCATTATTGTTGGCGTTCTTAAAGAAAAATTTGTTTCTTTTATAATTTTTGTTTTTGTTTTTTTGGTTTTTTTTTTTTTCGTGTTTTCAATACAGTGATGTGTTCATAATTATAATTGCCTGATCCTATTCAGTTAAATCTTGAAAAACTAATTTAATTTACTTGTATGTTATTGTCTGTAAACATTGTTTTCGGGCCTTATTGTGTATTTTGCAAGCTCCTTTTTTTATTTGAGGCAAAATATCTCAAAATTAAAATTGTAAATGAATGATATTGCGATTTAACTAACATGTCTCATATATGAAAGAATAGTGATAATGTTGTGTATCGTCTTTAAACAGTAAATTAGCTGCAAATATTTAAAATGTTTGCACCAATGACTATCTTCATTTATCAAGAGAACAGATACTTCGATCCATTAGCCCTGTCACTCCTAAATCTTTTAGCCAAAACAAACTTAAGCATAAGGATTACAATTTTCTTTTTTCTGATTTCCCCCTCCCCCCAACCTATGATGTTTACATGTCGCAGTTGATTCGATATTCAAAGGACTGTTCCACTGTTCCAATTATCACGAGTTTTTGCAAGTTTACTGGCAGAAAATGATATGAAGCTGGAGGACGTGTTTGATGCTCGTTAGTTGGTCTGTTGGTAACAATGAAAATCAATTTGATTTTATACTCAATTGTCAACGATTCGTATATTCAATGAAACGTTTTTAAGAAATATCAATGTAATAGACCCAGTATATTTAGACTGATTTAGCTTATGAAATCTGTAAACAACAAGGAATTATCAAAGTTATCAACATTTATCATTATGAGTAACAAGAAAAGAAACGACTTAACTGTACATGAGTAGTACGATGAATTAACGCTATACTAATTGATGGTGTGTGTTGGATGAGAAAGTTTACTACTTTGATGTTCACACATGTGTCTGTTGTGTTTCATTCTGAACAAACGAACCGCGAAACCTATGATAATAAAACAATTAAGCGATATGTGAAATGTGGAAATACACTATATCAGATATCTCATACTACATATTATATAAGATATATACTTTTTATTTTTTTTTCTGTTCACACTGTAAATCCGGTATTGAAAGAAACTATTGTTGTGCTTGAGTATTTGTAGGATGCCTGTGCAATTATAAGCTAACTCGTCAGAGTTTTGTCAACCTTTAATGGCAGTAAAACTCGACGAACAACCCGAAAAACATCAACAATGTCCAACACATAAAATGGAAACCGGTCCGGCGGTCCGGAATCACGGCCGCATTACACTATTAACGCCTCAAATCAAACATGTTATGTCAAACTAAAAATAGTTTTGATAAAGGAAGGAAGCACTCAAACCACTGGACGCCGAGTAACACTGGAATGCACTGATATTGAGCGTTACTTTATATGACGTGTACATTTATACTGCTTTAATTTTATAAACAAACACTGATTTTTTAACTAAACATCATACAAATACATTATATTCTAAGTATTTAAAACTTAGATGTTGAGGTGATCAGTAAAGGAACTATACATACCTCCACTCCGAATTCGTCGTTGCTGATTTGGAGAGAAGACTGTTGGAAACTAGGCTCCCGTTGGCTAATTGTATAACTAGAATCGGTTGTACTGTGATGAACCGAAACCAACGCGATAAATAGGAACAAAATAACACCAACACACATACACTTCCATTTATCCATGGCGGACTGCGCTTGTACCTACAGAACAAAATTACTAGTGTTACATAGGCAAATTCCTAAATACAATGTTATATGTAACAACTGCTTCACAGACACGAAAGAACTCTTTCGAGTCCTCTGTGCCGTGCTGTAACCCTCGGGCAACGTAAACCAAAACAAAAAATTGTTACGGTGTCACGTGTGTAGTGGGCGGCCAATAAACCCCTTGATCAAGCGCCTTACCTGTCTCAGTTGTTGTCGATTGACCACTGCTGTTTAAAGTCGTCGGTGTGTGTGTATATATATACATGGTGAAATCGATCGGTGGGTTTACAAGCGCGTAGCCAGGCAAAAATGAGTGTGGACGCCCGACAGAATGTCGTAGGGGGTATGGGGTTCTCCAGGGGATTTATTTTTGTATTTCTAGATGTACAGAAGTGACGTTGACATATGAGCAATTTTGAGATATACAAGTGAGAAATATAATTATGCATTTCAAGAGAAATTTAATACACAACACAACACGTGAAAGTCATGACTACCATTCTGTGATATGTTGTAGATTATGTTATTGAATTTAACAGACATTCCAAAACATAATTAGGAGAGAAACCATACAAAAATGGTCATACGTGGTAACTAAGGGGTGTATGTTAGTTGTCGCTATTTCTATTGGTGAAAATTCTGTATTGTAGGCTTAACTGTACATAAAAAGTATTCACTCATCCACAACGATATTTTTCCATGACTTCAATTGCTGTCCTTAATTTTTACTATACAAAAGTCAATCGTCGTTGTTTTGTTTCTACAACCTGGGTCACTACTTTGTCTGGACCTTATTTCACAACGCCACCGCGCCCTCCTTATGAGAGTAGTCCTTACCCAAGCTATGATACCGGGTTCGTTACTGTAGCTACGGAAAGTGTTTCTATTTCCAGATCTTCCTCAACACCGATGTCTAATTTCAACAAGCCAGTAGAGACTGCAACAGCGCCATCTATGCAGACTTTGTTAATGGATACTGGTAAAACTCTAGAGAATCCGGCCAGTCTGGGGCTAGACCTTGAGCAAGGTAAGTCTCAGGGACACATGTCTAGGAAGAGAGAGAGAGAGAGAAGCCACAGATCTAAAAGTAAAGTCAGATATAGGTAATATAGTCGTCACAGAAGCTCATCTACGTCATCGTGATCTGATTCAGATTCTGATAGCGACAGCAGCTCTGATTACCATCGAGGTCGGCATAGATCGAGGCCGTCACGGAGGAGTCCAGCACCTCCTAGGGCTCCAACATTTACTGGTACCGGTGAGAGCGATTGGGATTCTTTCCTTTATCAGCATGAGAGACAAGCTAAAAGGTACGGGTGGCACAGGAAGGAAATAAAGGAACTGTTGATAGACTGCTTAAGGGACAAGGCACTAAAGCATAACAGTTATGACCAGCTTTGTAAAATACTCTCAAAGCGGTTCAGTAAGAAAGAAGCCCCTACCCAAGCGCGAAGACATCTATAACTCTGAATCTCTTGCTGAGTTCTCGCAAAGGGTACATTTCCTTGCTATGGATGGGCTACCAGGAGCCGACAAAAGGACCATTGATCAGATAGCGGTAGAGGTATTCTTGAGGGCTTACAGGGATAAGGAAGCTGCAAATACAGCTATGGCCAAGAATCCTAAATCGATTTACAAAGCTCTACACTACGTTAAAGAAGCTGTACACAATAGGAAGCTGTTGTTTGGATCTAGGCCTTCTTATGGAGCTCGACAAGTGAGCTTTGCAGATATGGATGAATGTTTTGATAGTGATGAATGTCCTCCAAACGTTCAGCAGGTACAGAGTAAAAAGTCAACATCAGAGTTGTCAGAACTGACGTCAGTGTTGAAAGACCTGACCGTGAAACTAAATTCCTACAATTTGGGTACAAGAGGAATAAGGAGAGATAATCGATCTAAAAGTCCACCACCTTCTCCAAGAAGTCAGTCACCAAACTCCAAAGATAATCGCGAAGTTATGCTTGCGGGAAATATAGTCACTTCAAAGCGGACTGTGAACAACAGTGATGAAGAACCGTTAAACTCCTAGGGGCCATGTCAACTGACCGGGCAGAGGTCCACGAAGAGGAGGAAGGTCAGGAATTGGCAGAAACAAAGAAGGTTCTTGTGAAGGAAAAGAAAGCTGTCAGCCTTTACATTCCAACTGTGTACTGATGGAACACTTCCATTATGGTTAGCATGAGCTAAGCGAGTGTTGTTGGATCAAGTGGACCAGCAGCTGTCCCCTCGGATGATGACTCCAATACACAGGATGCCAAGGCGACTGCAAGTACTGGCATTTATAATGCTATGGAAACCACCGACAGTGACTCGGACACCAGCCTTGACCAGTGTGACGCTGATGGGAAGGATGAGAGCCCTACCAGAGTGACTGTAATCTGGGCGTCGAATGAAATGACCTCCTTACTTGACAGGCTATGCAATTTAGTTATATTCGCGTCCTGGGACGGTCTCTTTTACTTCGCGAACTATGGTTAAAATCATATTTGCAAGTAGCTAACTGTTAATCAGTGTGGTTTCATTTGAAACCTGATAATTTTATTTTGACATTTAGTGTTCGATCTAAAAAAAACGGAGAGGAATGTTTGGATTATCGGGCAGATTTACTGCCCCTGTTTTGCCCTCTTTTGACCAAAGCCAGCGAACGGTACAGATGTGAAATCTATCAACCAACAAACTTGTGTGTCAAATCTGAGCATTTGGCCAATCTTCCGGGTCTTCGTGAGCGGTAGTTTGGTAACACAGATCTGTGTGACACTCATTCTTTGTTGATGTGCATTTTATGTGAATAAAACTGTTTAAACACTTACACTATTAACGCACAGTAGCGGTGGCTTCGGACCGATCAAGCTCCTTCGATAGTGCCGGAGGGACACTCGGGTTATGCTGTGCGACAATCTGTTCCGAAGAACTAGCTCGACTCTAGCAACGTACCGAAACGACCGAAGCAAGTCTTACTACAAGCGTCTGCTGAACACTGATTACATCGGTGAAAGTGGACGTAAAAATGTCAACCATTAACGACTGCTAGTGGAAATATTACCAAACTAATTACATGTTTTATTCAATGTGATTCAATTCATATCAAGACATAAAATCATAGCTAGACTTCATCAAAAAATCGATATTGGTGTCCTTTATTAAACGAGCCAATCAACGTATTGACAAATATCTGTATCATTTATCTCGTATGTGATACAGTCTTCCAAACACAAATACAGGAACGTGGAAAATTCTAGTGGAGAGATGGATCTGGACGGCTCATTCTGTACTTGTTCGATTTGTCCGTCCAGTACATAAGTACATTATGTACAGAATGTTTGTACCTAATCTAGAGTAAAATAGTATGTGTGTATAAGTACTTGCGTTGATTTTTAATTAACACGTCTGACCATATAATCCCGTTATAAGTTTATAGTTTTTTTACTATTATACATTCTTTGTTATTGTGTATATAGATACTATTAAGTTGTAATAATAACTCTCCTTAGCTAATGTTGTCAAGTGTATCTCATCGTATCTTATTGTATTGTATCTTATCGTATTGTATTGTATTTGTATTGTATCGTATTGTATTGTATTTGTATTGTATCGTATTGGTATTATAACGTATTTTTCTTGTATTTGTATTGTATTTGTATTGTATTATATTTGTATTGTATCGTATTGTAACGTATTGTATCGTATTGTACATTTGTTGACTGGGTTTGACTTCAACACATGTTTTGTTATACCAGTGAACTAAACTGTTCGGCCTCAGGCAACACGTTTTGTTAAACCAGTGAACTAAACTGTTCAGCCTCAGACAACACGTGTTTTGTTAAACCAGTGAACTAAACTGTTCGGCCTCAGGCAACACATGTTTTGTTAAACCAGTGAACTAAACTGTTCGGCCTCAGGCAACACATGTTTTGTTAAACCTTCTAGTATTGATATCTTAGAAAACGAATCAATAAAGCCAATATTGCTTGATGGCGAAAATTGTCGAGTAACGACCGGAAACTACCGAACAGTAATGAGCCCTGACGTTAGAAGTCAATATAGACATGTTGACCGGTAACCATTGTTCTGGGACTAACATGTGGAATTACAGGTTTGATTCACTGTTTTATTCACTATTCCCACTAAAACCTCAGCCGCTTATATCTCGATCTCGTAATACTACACCTCGAACGACACTGAAACCTCAGCCGCTTATATCTCGATCTCGTAATACTACACCTCGAACGACACTGAAACCTCAGCCGCTTATATCTCGATCTCGTAATACTACACCTATAACGACACTAAAACCTCAGCCGCTTATATCTCGATCTCATAATACTATACCTAGAACGACACTAAAACCTCAGCCGCTTATATCTCGATCTCATAATACTATACCTAGAACGACACTGAAACCTCAGCCGCTTATATCTCGATCTCATAATACTATACCTAGAACGACACTAAAACCTCAGCCGCTTATCTCGATATCGTAATACTACACCTAGAACGACACTAAAACCTCAACCGCTTATCTCGATCTCATAATACTATACCTAGAACGACACTAAAACCTCAGCCGCTTATCTCGATCTCATAATACTATCACGCCTTTTATTAAAGTTATTTTGAATAAATTAAGTAAATTAATTTATCCAAATAAAAACTTTGCATATTTTTATTTAAAGTAAAACTTTAATTTAGAAATAGAATTTTAAACTGTTCCATGTTACAAAATGCTGTATTGTAAAAGAATGCGGAAAATACTTTAATTGTATAACTGTGAGGCTAGAAGTAGTGGCTAGTTTATTTGTCAAGTTCTATTACAAAAGATGTCAGGTAAAGCTCAATTTAGAGGTCTTGGCAGAGATTTTGTTCTATACAAAATTCTAAGATGTTGTTACAATTCACTTATAGCTCTTCGGAACAGTATTCATTTCTACAATCAAAGAAATTGTCAAACCAGTTTATATGGTTACTTGTTGACACCACCGTGTGTTACAATAGGCGTTAATTGAGCTAGGTATTATTGTAGACTTTACGCTTACGTTGGATTTACGTAGAGCAAATTATGACATGTATAGGACGCTTGTCAAGCGCAGTTAGACTTAACGCTAATACATGAGAAAAATATGACTTTTGATTGGATAGGTAATCAAGAATCAAAATTTGATTGGCTAATCTAACTTCTCACCATTTTGGGGTATACTAGTGTTTCCAAAGTTGAGCTGTGTCACTTTGGGCGCAGCATTTGATGAATAAAGA